CACAGCAAGGCAGCTGCGCATCTCCATTCAAACACAGCGGTGTTTCGTTTATGAATGAACAGGTGTTTTTAAACGAATCTAGTGAGTCAGTGATTCATGATTACCCATCCATAAAGACAGTCACTTGCTTCATTCCTGAATGAATCAGCCGTTCGAATGAATCAATTGAATGAATGATTCAGTGATAAAATCAGTGACTTGCCGCCACCTGCTGGCAGTTTTAGTTTAATTTTTAAAGTATCTTTTCAGTTATTTAAATCATTTAATATTTCTATATTCAAAATTTTGTATTTAAAACATTGATCTCATCATGAATTTATGGATTTAATTGCACTCATGCCACCTCTGAGCCTCATTAAATGTCTGAAAGAACACCAAGTCACTTTTGTGTTCTCCTGTGCCACCTCTACAAATTAATTTTGTTAATACTGATTTCATTTGATTTTTAACTTATGTTTCTTATTCTACTTGTTCTTATTCTGTCGTTTTATTAATTACAATTTTTAAAAAGCTTATAAAATATAATTTTTAAAGAATTTGACATACTTTTAATAAAGTAAAAAAAAATGCCATTACAAAGGTAAAAACTAAATTCCACTGTAAATCACTTTAAGGAGTCAAATATCGCCTCGTAATGGGAAGGCAAATTTTTGATAACATTTTGCATTATTGATTAGAAGGTGCTCCTAAAATTTTGAACGTGCTCCTAAATGTTTTAAGTTAAAAGAAAAGTAAGCGTAGAGTCCTGTACTGATGCTGATAAAAAAAACTTTCCAAACAAACCACTTGATGAAGAGGAGAAGAGTTCTGTAAGGACAGGTCTGCCAGACTTTGTAGATAAAGAGACAGAGAGTGACCCATTTTCGCTGTGACCCACAAAAAGGTCTGCTTGTCAGAGGACAACACACCAACAAAGGCCCACGTGGTGCACTAGCTGATGGAGGACAGATGGATGGATGCAGACAAACAGACTCAGCCCTCCAACACGTCTTTTAGGTGATCCTTACTAATTGGGCAGGCTGCCTTGACTGCCTCTAATGGTGTTGTTTACTGCCTCTGCCTCATTCCCCAGGCCACTCCACCTGCTCTTCCAGCCTCAAGTGAGGTGCTCTGAGAGTCGTACTGGGTGGCACTGCTTTGCGAGGGGGGTGAGAGCCAATAGGGGCTCTCTTGTTGCACAAACAGCCGCTCTTTGAATTAACCTCACTTTCGGGTCACCGCTGAAATAATCCCTCCCTTCTCTACCCCAAGAAAGGTTGGCGAGTTGTGATTACAGTGAGCCGCCTGCTCTGTCTTTTCCCTCTGTGGTTTTTTCTCTCTTTTCTGGGTCTCTTCTTGACAGTGAGAGATAGTGTCTTTGTTCAAGTTCGGGGAGACGGTGCCAGCAGTCGGCGTCCCTCGTGGGGAATGGATGCAGTGCATGTCAGGCCCCGGGAGGACTTCATCACGTTCGATGGACAACCTCTCGTCATCCCTGAGCACATCACCTCCATCACCCTCCCCTCCATGGCCCCTGCGCCCCATCCCTGGTCTCAGCCTGAGCTCTGAAACTCAATTCACCCATATCGCATCTATTAAGGTCTGATTCATGCTCCACTCGCAAGGGGCCGAGCACAGCTATCCATCTTGTCTCGTGCTCAAAATGTGCTGTTTACCTTGCACTGGCAGATCTAGGGCTACACTTTAAAACTATCCCAACCTGTAAAAGCATCAAACTTTAACTGTGATGTCACTCAAAGAAAAAGCCTTTAGATTTACCTGTCTACAGAGAGGCCTTTTTTTCTTTCATGCTCACTTTGTTGTCATCAAATTCAGCTTTTATTTTTTCCATTTCCATGTGGCTGTTCCCCTACTCTTCTAATGCAAGCTGATACTCTCTCTGCTGTCTCTAAACTGTCTTTGCCAGTGACATATGAGCACATCTGCAGGTTGTACAAGCTCACGACAGCTTGTTTTCTTTCGAGTCATCATTAGGCTGGTAAGCTAGCCTTAATTCTGTCTCTCTTTGTTTCACTTCATAGAGCAGTAGGAGTAAAATAATTATATATATATATATATATATACTAGGCTTGCTGTGATAGACGGTGTTGACAGTGATACCGGTTACGACACTTGCCCACCACGGCACCGACCCCCACCGTCGTTTTGATTTTTTGTAGTAATAAAAATCATTTAGTTCTGTAAAAGAACAGACACTACAATTAAAAACTGAACGCGGCTGCTCAATGCAGCGTGCCGAACGACATTTGCATCACAGATCAGATTTCATTTCTCCAGTGAGGAGAGTGAGTCGAGCTGACTGACAAGAAGAGTGAGGTGAG